GTATGAATGAATAAGATGAATAGCTGTCATTTTGGTCTTCAGTTAAAGAGTCGTTTAGCACTGAAATATCAACAAATGCGCTAGTACTTTCAGAAAAATATGCTCTAGTTATATTGATCTAATATTTTGTTGGAAAAAGTTTAGCTCATGTGGTAAAGACACCAACATGTTCACCCGACATTTAGTTAAAATCTGGTTAAATCAACCAAATTATTTTTCTGTTTGTAGCTAGTTTCCTGTTCACTCTTATCTAATTTTATCTATAAAAAATTATTGTGCATATGACGTTTTTTAACTTGATAAATTTTTCTTTAAAATACTCCAGCTTTTAAATTCATCTCAAATGTATATTACATAAATGGGGAAAGGGAGAGCTTATACAGTAATGACACTTCATTTTTTTATTAATATTCCAAAAACTACTTCAGTTATTAAGAGAATATATTTGAGGTTCTCAATTAGAAATATACTCGTACCAACCCAAAAACAGTAACGAAAACTGTGTAATCTGAATACAATCTCTGTCTTCGTCTTCTCCAACGCTTTGTAACTTGCCTTTGATTGTTTAGATTATTTTTTGGTCTCCAGAGTGTAGTAGTCGATCTGAATTTTGGTAAATAACAATATAACTGACCAATGATCATTTCATTTTCATTCTTGAGTAATTCTCATAATTGAAATCAGTATTTGTGTATGCATGCACACAATCAAATATAGTTAATGTACATGAAATTTTAACCCCCGAAATTCATCTAGTGTGGTATCCAGTCAATCCAGTGTATCCAGGATCGGATTAAATTTTTTTTGCTTACCTATTTATGAGTTTTTTGTTATGGTTAAATAATTTTCTAATTAATTTTGAAAAAATCGCTGACTGGCGTCGACTTACTCTTATTACAATCCATCCCATTTTGATAGTGTATAGTAAATAAATATCTAAACAATTCAGTAAAAGAATATCCAGAATTAGTTAAAGTAATGCGTACTTTCCACCAAGATATACGATTGGTCATATTTATTACAATATTTACTTATATCGTGCAAAATATTATCCCCAATCTGTCAGCAGTTAACCTGTAATAAAACACATTTAATTTTGACCCATTTTTTGTAATATTGACAATTTAATAGGTTTCTCAGGTGCTCAAGTTTTACAACCAACACTTGGCTTTCCTTTACCTTCAACTATTCTTCTGATACAATCTCCAATAATTTTATTGTGACATGGTTAAGTAGTAAAGTGTGAATACGTGTAATCGAGATGGCGCGGAGAGACGTGCGTGCTACTTATGCGGCTATTCTCCATTAACTAATTGGAGTTACGTGATTAGGCAAACAATCCTAAGTTTTACTACGAAAAAATAAGGAAAAAAAATCCAAAAAATAATATAAAATAAAATGGAAAAATACTGAATATGGAGTAGCTCTTTGCATCAATTACACTTAAGTGCCGGAAAATATTATTGCTCGTACAAAACTGGGGCAAGACCACTTTTACTTGTCATTAATCAATTTTTGAATCAAAACGTTTAACGGAATACGCACCGCAAACTAACGAATTGGCTACACCGTGGAGTGGAAGAGCATGGAGAAAAGTTCGGCAAGGTCGTTTGCTACTGGTGGGCCGAGTTATTGCCACTGTCACACTAAACGAAAAATCCATTAATAATGCTTTCTTGGCTTTCGTGTGATGATACATCCGTACACTTCAAGCAATTCACTTGGTATGGAATTGCCTTCAAATTGTTGTTTGCGGTTTTCCAGTTTAAGTAGTTTTCGCTTATGTTTTGTATTTGTTTCTGTTTTTCTTGTTGCTTTTGGGTTTTGTCAACGATTTATACGATTTATAGATTCGGAATATTAAACTCTTAGATGAGACAAGAAATCGATTTAGAAATATCGAAATTTTAGTGCTGTTATCAGATGTAAGAGGGCGAAGCTTATTAGTATGTCGTGCAGCGGAAAGCAGAACTGCTTTGGCTCTTCTAAGGATTTTTGTTGTTCAATTTAAGTTTCAGGCCATTAACATAAATGATGAATGACGTTTTTATATTATTTATCGATATCGCATTATTAATCAAAGTAAAAGTAGCAAACAAACTACGAAATGCTAAAATGCATGCACATTTGTAATTTATATAAATTATTTGAGAAAAAGAAACTTTAGTGGAACATGCTGTGATTTAGTAAAAGTCAATGAACAATTTTCTTTAAAAGCAAAACTTTAGCTCCTTTAATTTAAAGCTTAAAAGAAGCAAACCTGAAGGAAAAATCATAGTTTTTCTTCTTGCTTTTATTGAATTTTTAATGAACAAATTTTTCCGAAAAAAATAAACAATCTTTAATATTCTTGTTTACTCAAATGTGAAATATCTTGGTGGAATGAAAATTTAGCAAAAAAAAAATTCGTCTTACTCTTAATTCTATTAAGTAAATCAGTTATTGTTACTTTCTTACTTACATAAGTAATTAGTGAAATATTACTTAAGTCATATTGAAAAAAGATATAGAAAGTATTCTTATAATTTTTTTTCCACCCTTCACATTTATCTGTCATATGTCTCTGAATGATATAGTAACTATAACAATATGATAACATAATTTATATAATAATATTTTACGTATATCACATTACTCAATATGTCTCGTTTGCTGCTTCTATATACCAACACTATTGGTAAATCCACATGATTTGGAAGGATTCTACCTTCATATAACATGTATTGTATTAATTTCATGACATTTCTATAATACAGAAGCTTTGACATTTTTACGACAGGCGGCTAAAATGCCATTGCTGTAAGCTTTATATATATAATGTAATTGTTATAAATTTCTATGTAATTCAACATATTTAAAATAGAGTAAAATAAAGCAAATACTACTACTACTACAGTAGCTATGGTTTCCCTTCCATCGCACTCTCCAGATCTAGTCTTCAGCAATTACTATTTTTTTGCAGACTTCTACAAAATAATACAGGGAAATAAAATTGACCTAATTAAAAAACTGATTTACGAAACTTAGGACTATTTTTGAAGTAAAGATAAATCGTTCTATAATAAAGGATCAATAAGTTAAAGATTGTTTGAATGAAATCATACCTTCAAAACAGCTGAATTTTTTTTGTTGAGCAATTTAGTACAAAATAGGAATATTGAACAATACGCCACAATCCCATTTCATTAACAAACAATACAACTCTCTCATTTAGATGCCCCGAAATAATATCAGTCAACTATTGATCAATTAGGAATCAATCAATTAAGAATTAAATCTTGACTAAATCATTTCCGTCGCAGTTGTGGAAAGGACAATGAAAGTGCCTTACATCTTCTTTTTTAATTGATCGGTTTTCTTTTTTGAGGATCCTGATCAGCTCCAGGACCTCCCTCTGAACAGCATCTTAGGGTTTGTTAAAGGTTCATGGTGATTTTTAAACCTTTGTGTTCTTATATAGCAACATAATAGGCCTTAGTAAATTCTCAGGGTTGCCGATATAACCTAGGTTCATGTATCAACAACAAAAAAATTAGCACTCACTTAGATATTTAGCCATGAGATATTCGACCGTAAAAGCTGCTAAAACTGCGAAGAAGAGAAACTAAATTCTTTACAGAATATTTATTTATCACATAGAATCAGGACTAAAGATTACTCATATAGCTTATTCAGAACAACAACAAAAACAGATTTCTCAGAAATGTAATCATTCATAATAATCACTGATTTCATAACTGCACATATTTATAAAAATTACTACTTTCGAAAGATGGGTATAAAGAACACCGGCATCAACAGATTCTATGAAAGGCAGAGCGAAGCTTCGATCCTCTCTCGTGCTCTGCAATTAGTAAGTAAGGAATCCAGGTTGTTCATAAGGTTTTCATTAAACCTTCAAGATCCTAGAGTACTAGGATCTTGAAACTGTGGGGTTTGTCGAAATACTGATATTGTCTGGGTTAGCTAAAGAACTATTTTACAATATAGCATAGCATAGCAGATCTCTGTTGCAACCTGTCAATTCTATTAACAACAGCAATTATATATAATAAAATATCAATCAGGGCATTACTTTAAGTCATTTAAAGAATGACTATAGAAATACGCATCTATGTATAAAAAATTTACAAAATGCCTGAGACTAATATTTGTGAAAATGCAATAAACTCTAGCAATTTTTTAAATACTTTAAAACTGGCCATAAAGAACTGAATGTACATACTAATAGACATAAATGTTGAAAGAACGCGATATGATTGTAGAAAAGGGATGAGTATTTTTGGAAAAATGGAAATAGCTCAATAGTTTTTTAGAACTTCTTGAAAGTTGACATGATATTTGATTTTTTCCTTTAAGTAAATAAAAATTGGAAATGTTATTTATAAAAATTAGTTGAAAGTAATTAACAGTAGTTGATTGGAGCCAATCAAGTAGTTGAAATTAGGCAATATATATTTTCGAAAATATAGTGAAAATTTCCCAATAATGAAATTAACATTTTGACGAAGGTTTTTCTTGTCAATTTTAGAAAAATAACAAGTTGAAGGCCTCATTTAAATGTATGTACGAAATATATATAATTAATAACAGCAACGAGTAGAATATCTGTACACTATTTGATGAACTTACTTTTGAGTCGATTAAATAAATTTTTATTTATTGCTACATTTTTTTTTTTTTGCTTAATAATTCCGGCGACTTGGTGCACTGTATATAAATTCTTGTTCAAGTCCACCAAACAAAAATCTTTTATATAATTCATTTAAAGTGAGATGCTGCTTTCTACTTCCGAATATAAAGAAGCAAATATCAATTTTCACTGTCGCACAACACAATTTAATTTAATTTTAAAAAGCGTTGATTTCGTCGCGAAAATAATTAAATTCACTTTTGAATAAAATATCAGTTCTTTTGTATGCTACAACGAACCAATTTACTTGAATAATTTTGAAACTGATATTTCATTTAGTTTTATTCATTTTAAAATACAAACTTACCCATTAGCTTCATAACCTCCTTATGACTAATGAACACATTTAGGTATCCGTTTGCTAAAAGTGGATACCAAGAGACGATTGTGCACCAAAGGCAGATCCAGAATTTTGCCATTATGATACGTAAATCCAATGAAGTGTACTGCTTTTTAGCTGAATTTGTTATTGATGCAAAGTGAGTTGAAGTCTTTGCAGATAAAAAATTTTTTAAAATGTCCTTTTACTTGATACTATCTGCCACTGCTGTGAGTGAGACTATCGAAAGCCAATTTAAAATGGAATTTTCTTTGAAAGTTATCGGCCGTACAGCATATGTGACTCCCACTCCTTGGCACCGAACACTTCGTTTTGCAATTTTATTTTCCTTTGCGCTTTTCAGTTTGCTCCTATATGCAGACAATCCAAAATGACAGACTGAGAAGTTAGCCTGTAGGGCGTTCGCACTGCTGCACGTATAACAGACACACTGTCCGCTGTCCACTATCCACTGTCCACTGGTCTATTTGTTTATATGTTTGCAATAGTATTTAGGTATGTTCAAGTAGATATGTGTGTATAAGATTGTTTGATAAAACGCCTGTCTACAACACTTTGCAAAGCACAAGTGACCACATGACAACCATGCAGAATGACGACGAATCCTTTACATGGACAAGGGTGACGACTGTGATTTGAATTTGGTTTTGTATGCCACCTTAGCCAAGTGACAAGTGGTTGCCGCCAACAACACAACTGTATTGTGCTGCTCTGGTGCTGTTGCAGTAGACATGCATGGCAAACTGTCTATTTGGTTGAATGGCTGGCTTTTGCTGGCTATATGGGATTTGTGTATGGAGCGGATTGCTGGACGCAAATGCGCCACGTACAAAATGTGTGATTGTGCTGCTTTATGTGCTACGATTTGGATAGATTTTGTTGGGAGTTGAGAGTTGTTATTGGCAGATTAAACTGGTTTTTCAAAAACGTTAAACATGTGCCGCCATCAATGCTATCCTTTCCTGTATTCGGTTGGCTTCTGTTACTTATTTTGCTAAAAGAAAAAGTTGAAAAAAATACATAATGAAATTACAATTTTTTCGTTCGTTTTATATTAAAGAGAAAAAAGGTTAAAAAAATTACAGATATTGTAAAATGTTTTTTATAAAAGTTTATACATATGTGTTCTGCTTTACACGTACATTAAAAAACATTTTTGTACTTCGACCAACCTAAAATGGAAAACTTAAATATCGAGCAAAATAACTGTTGTGGGTGTTGTGGATGTAGTGGATGTATTAATATGTGAGTATGTGCGAAAGGAACTCAATTTCATAAAAAAAGACAGTAACAAAAACTTCCTCTAAACAATTCAAAATGTTTTAAACTTCTTGAAAAAGTAATTAAAAAGTTGAAAAGATTAACAGTTCTGAAGCAGCAACCGAATGAGCCAGAGTGAGTGAGCACGCAATGTACGCCACAAGTTGACATGTTGCCTGGGCTCCTAGGAAACCCGCACACTTCATTCTTCTCTACTGCTGGGGTAGAGTAGGCTACCACTCGCCTAGTCTTAATGATTTTCTTGACTTCATTGTTCTTGGTTTACTTTGGTTTGACTTGGTTTTGATTCAGAGCCATGCCTTGTTTTCGAGTATTTTGGTAGACTTTTGAGGAATCACAAGATACAAATACATAAATTGTATGCAAAAATACTGAAAAAAGTTTGTAAAGCTAAAAACACAATTTTGCGGAATTGTTGAAAGAAAATGAAATTGCGGAATACTTCAACATTTGAAAGTTACGTGAAATCTAAATAAAATATTTTAAGAAAGTCTTATTTAACAGACGAAAAATACTTTTTCTCCTTTAAGCAAAACCGAAACGAACACGTTATTTTTTAACGTGTAAAGGTGGAAATTTCGCAAACTTTTAGCAAATATCAACAAAAATACTGGTTGCAAGTTGGAAAGTTTACTGCAATCCTATCTGAATACTAATGGAGTACAAAATAAGGAAGGCGTACAGGTGAACACATTCATTTGAATATATGTATCTGTATCTATATTGCATTGAAAATCGCTGCATGTGTGAGATGAGATAACAAAGCGCAATGCATAATGAACCTATTTTATTTTTTCATACTAAAAGAAAACAAAATTGAATCAAATGCTACATATATTCTACTTTAGCACAAATGTTTCTTTTACCATCGATAACGTATGGAATTTTAATAAGTTGTTGAATTTTCTGAATAACATTTGAACATTCGAAAAATCAAAATTTAAAATTTTATAAGTTTATAAACAAAAATTGAATAACAACTACCAAAACTACAACTATTGATGAACATTTCTTATTTTTATAAATATTTTCTAGCATACAACATATGCTGCATTCTGAATACACAGTGCGTATGAGTAATATTTTTCAAACTAAAAAGATGCCCTTCACATGTGAGGGCACTTCATTAAATGTGCATAAAGATAAAGTACAGTACAGTGATTGAGTATACTGATCATCCCATTTGTATTTAATAAAATTTAGTTAAAAACGAAACAAAGATATTTAGAAATATAATACCCAAAATGTAATAATCCAAAAATGCAATAAATTAGTAATTGTTTTAATTATAGAATCGGAATTGTTCTTCAGTTGGGTTTAAAGTTAATCCTTTTCATTGTTATTTGAACTAAACTATTCATATTTTCATATTCTTTATCAAATCACTGTAAAAAATTCTCAGTTTTAGTTCAATAAAGTATTGAATTGTGGTATTAACTCCTGTTTATCGGAATAGAAACAATTACATTTATTGCATTTTACAATTGTATACCATTTTTCTTTAAAATCTCAGAAAACTGAATTTATGTTTGCTTGTAGTTTATATTAAAATAATGGGATATATAATACTATTACAAAATATATTATATAGTATGGGCATATTATAAAACTAAACTCGGTATTGGGTATAATATTCATTATCCAATATTCAATACCATGAAGTGGGTTCAAGTTTATGCCCATATTATACTACCACAAAAATTATTTATGGTAATATTCTTAAAATATTGGGTGATTTTGGTAAGAATTCTCTCTTTTTTTGCTGTATTTGTTAAGAGTATTAAGAATTTGTTATATTGAAAAAAAATTAAATCAAGTATATACTGGCCATTATTATCTATAACCTTATGTCATTTTTCGAGAGCTTCATATTTTCAGCTTTTGTCATTAATCGGTGAAAAACTTGTTCAACTGGTTTGCAGAGTGACGTCCAGAGGTCTTTTCATATCGATCTTTATAGTGGATAGGGGATACTGTAGTGATTTCCCCTATAGCGTTGGTGCTGCTAAAACGGGTACTATATATAACAAAAGTTATACTTAAAGTTAGTTTAAGTAGTACATAAAGACACAAATATAACTTGCTTGTAAAATTATTTGGATTAAAAAAGGTTAAGTTAAGTGGGCTTTCTAAATTTATTTCTATAATGCTATCCTATAAATATTTTATGCTTCAAATTCCATCAAATCACATCATATTTTTATTATTGCGATACTCTCGAATTCTTAATTTTTAACTAAGTAAGGTTAACTCAATTGTTAATCTAAATAGATTTATTATATCAAAATAATAACAAATTTTTTTTAGTAAACTTATTTGATTGAAGAAAGCTGAACGAATCGAATTTTCATTTAAATTTTATAAATTATCCACTTGTTTGATATAGAAAAAAATCTGTATAAATTATTTTTTATCTACGTACAAAATTATACTCTTCTACATTGAAACTAGAACTAGCATTTAATATATATATTTAAATTATATAATAATAATTATAATTCATTGTAGATAAAATTATTATTAAACTACTTACTTACGTTTATTAAACTATCAAACTAAAATAAGTTATTATTAAAACCGTAATACCATCCCTGTGATTAAGTATAAATAAGTCTAAATTTAAGTCTAAGTATAAATAATTAAGAACATATTAAATATGACAATGAATTGATTTCTAGCTAAACTTACTAAGTAATAAAATAAATTGTATATTTACGTATTAGATAAATTTCAAAAATATTTACTATTTATATTAAAAAGAAATATTTATGAGTTGCTATTTTATTTGGAAGTCTTTAGTTTTGTTTAACATTATCTTAAGTCTCTGTTTTATAAAAGAGCGTGACCTTCGTTTAATTTTATCGTAGGCTGCAGCCTAACATCTTGTTCAGTCTATATTGACTTAGTTAGTACAAGTCTTGTGAAAAAAAAAATTAATGAAAGAACTTATTTTCATTTAAAAATAACTCACATCAAAGCGATTTACAGGGTGTTTTCGGCATTTTCGATGTACATGCAAAATATAACTTCGTATAGGAGGTGAAGTGTGATTAGTAACAATATTTTCTAGAATATTGACTATAACATAAATTACATATAAATATAAACTTAATATAAAGAAATACTATTTTATAGTACATTAAATATTTTTGAATTTGATAATTAAAACGTCGTTGTACTGTAGTGGGTTTGAAAACTATGATGGCTTAATATAATTTTTTTCGGAATATGTTTAATAATATTTCCGGAAACGCACATTCTGCAAAAAACATCCATATTTTTTTACTTCCCATTGTTGTGTATAAATACTTTATTGACTTCTAAATACATGTTGTGAGAGAATTTTGCTTTTATCACATATTGCTTTTCTGTAAGCCTCCTATGACGCAAACTAACGAATCTCTTTTTCAATAAAAACACATAAATTCTTCAGTGCATACAACCACTGATGAATAAATTTGTGCATTTTTATTGAAAATAATGCTAGGATAGCTTGCCTATAAGGATAATTATGAGAAAACAGTGTATGATAGAATGAAAACTCTCTAGCAGGATCCATTTGAAATATAATTAGATATTAATACATAAAATGAGAAAAAAAAAGTCACAAAAATAAAATACATTTTCTGTAAAATTAATTAAAAGTCTTTTAAGTACAATAATGTACTTAGTTTCAAAATAAAGGAAGGCTATTTAATAGACTAAACATTAGTAAACAAGCAAAGGAGTTTGATTGAGCCACTTTAAATTGTCTTAGAACTGTGTACCTTTTTAGGGTCCATTGTGTAGATAACGATGAAAGTTCAACACATCTGTTTTGTTACTGCCTAACGCATACGTGGTACCGACTGTATTAGGGTGTCCTTATTGAGGATATTGGATAGCTCTAGAACGTCCCTCTAAAGCGCATATTAGACTTTGTCAAGGATGGAAGATGGTTTTTAAGCCTACGAGTTCTAAAATGGTAACACAATGTACCAGTTAGTTTAAATGGGTTCTTAAAGTCGCCGGTTTAATTTAATTCAATATACTCCACTCCATCGGATATATTTTCCATGCGTGCCATGACAAGTATTTCGTTGTTGGTGTGACGTAAAAATTCATCGACAATTTGTCAAACTATGTATGTGTTTTTGGTGTAGAAGTGTCTCGGGAACTTTTGCATCTAGGAAACCTTTCCCACAGTTATGCCAAATATGATGGGGTTTCGGATTACACCATTATAATCCTTATAATGCTGAAATTGAAGCTATTTTATCACAAAAATAAAATTTTATATTCATTATGCTGTCATCAGAGTTATGCTACCTGTTTCTCAAATTCTGGCTTGTCAGGGTCTCTAATCAAAGATTCTTTGCTTACGTCTGTATCAAAGAAATCGGAAACACTATTTTCATCTCTACAATTAAAGTTGTTCATAAACAAAAATAATTTCAAATCAAATACCCTGTATATAGTACTGCAATAAACTTTTATATTGCACACTGTTTGTGAACATTTCACATCGTTTTTAACTTAAAAATTCTTTTCAAAGTCCTTACAAAGCACAAGTACTGCAGATAAAAAATTATGTCACAACTTAACTGCAAAATATGCACAGCAAACTGAATTTTTATTATGTTTTTCAAATGGCAACTAAATAATTACAATAGCGATCATCATCAACATATTCGTTTTTATTTACTCGAAGCTGTGTGAAGGATATCTTCTGAA